GTGTAACAAAATGACACAAAAAAATTGTAAACAACACTTTAAGTAAAGAAAGCTATAAAATGTAGATCTATGCAAGTGATTATTATCTTGAATTTAAACACTACCTTTAACGTTATGTTAGGAGTGACATTAGGGGTGTGAATTTTAGAAACGTAGTCTTTTATAGATTTTGACTATAAATTATTGATTTGATTGGTTAGCTATCACGTTTTGATCAACGTATCTAAATATTAAAAATATTTTGATTTGATTGGTTAATGATTATGTTTTGATCATCATATGACACTGCACAAAGTTATATAAAAACCTCTATTGTTGTATTGTTTTGATTTGACCAAAAATTCACACAAAAAGCAAATGAAAAGCTTTTGTACTTCATTTACTATATTTACTTTGATAATTTTTTAAAATTAATTAAGTCCAGCATCTTCACTGAAGAAATCCCTTATGAAGAATATTTTTTATTCATTTCTTATGAAAACTGGACTCTTTATAGTTATTACTCGTCCCTTATTAACAATTACAATTTGTTAAAAAATCGGGCCCACACTGTCTTTTTCTTAATGCTGGAAGGTTTCACACGCGATAGTGACCAGCCATAAGAAGTCCGCTGCGTAGCAAAAGAGTTATTGAGGAGGAAGAGAGTAAGTATAAAAAGTTACAGGTCTACGTGGTATAAAACACTTTTCATTTTCCTTTTATAATAATTATATAAGAAATGTAATATAGAAATGGTTTGTATATTTTAAATTTTTACTTTGTATATATAATAAACAAGTTATTTTTTTATTCTAATAACAGATATGCAAATATCTCTGGATAAAAAGAAGGAAAATGAAATTATACCAAGAAAAAAAAAAAGATCAAATTAGAAAATAAAAATCAAAGGTTATATTTAAAAGAAAAAAGTAAGTAATTTACAATTTTTCTGGATTTCTGACCGGGTTTGCTGCTTCTTCAAGAGCATGATGCCTTTGGGTTATTATAAGGATGCCAAAAGTGGAAGGGAGTTTTTGGATACACTGCTCCTTGCAACAAGGCCTACTGATTCTGTAAGGAGAAATTGGTTAATGCGGACTTCTCTTATAATACTACGAGCAAAAATGGTTCATAGATCTGTTATGAACAAAAATGCTTGTGGAGATTGTTTCTTGAAAAAGTTAGCATCTGGATAGGCCAGATGTATTTGAGTTGCTTATTGTGTTTATTTTACTAAGTTTTTTTTTTTTATATCAGATGAAACTTTGTAACGAATGATAATCTATGATGATTGATGAAAATAAGTAGGTCAATGAAATATGAGAATCCGAAAAAGAAAATGTTTTAAGAAATTGGGGTATTTTTGGTTTGAAATTTTGAAATTAGGAAAAGAATAAGAGTTATCCGGAGATAAAATGAGTAGCCTTTTTTTTTTGATGATGTATTGTTATAATATGATTCAATCATAGTTAATTATTAATAAAGAATTACAAATTATCGCTTAAAAATTATTAAGTAATATTACATAATTATTTTCGAATCATTAATATTTAATACTTTCCAAAAAAAAAAAACTTTTAAACAAACCACTAAATAAGAGAACTTGAACTTGAGAAAAAAATCATAATACATGATAGTTTTTTCACGAATAGTAAGATATCGATCTAATTCAATTGTTTACAATAGTTCCAACAGTTTATCGGGGGGTTTTTTTTTGAGAATATTAGCTATATTTCGTGAGTACTATTAGAATATTCTATTAATACTTCAAATACTATTTATATTTTTAACATATAATTGTCGATCGGAAATATAAGGCATTTTAAAATATATATGAAAAGGTATCAAGTCTCGAAAGAAGATTCTCGATCGTAAAAAGTATTAATTACTATTGTTATTATATAAATAAGCTTACAAATCAAAATATATAAGATTTATGAGCCACTGATTTCGAATATTTGCTTGCATTATCGTATCTACTTAGTTCTATTATATTTTTTTTATTGATCATGATGAATTAAATCATAGGGATGGCAAATGGTTTAAAACACGATCTCAAAAATCATGTTTATTTGATTTAAATCTGGTAGAAAATGGTTTAATACATTATGACGTAATTATGATTCGACGCGTAATTTAAATGTATTATGACTACAAATTTCAAAAAAAAAACGTAGATCCTCGTCAAAAGAAGTCCACAAAAATTGCTGAATCTGATAAACATAATCGAACAATACTTCAACAAAATGTAATTATTGTGAAGAAGACTGTTGATTTAGTTGACCAATTACAGTAAAAGGTCATTCATTAAATGTAAAAAAGAAATTCCAAGGAATATATAAGATTTATTAAAAACTCAAAAAAACAGGATTCTGGTTCTTTAAATAATTCATTCGAAAAAATTTATTACGTAGTGGCAATATTGTAAACCTTGGACTTTCAATACTAACAAATGTAAACTAATATAGAATGAAAGTCACAAGCAAATTTCGCATTTAAAAAATAATAGCGATCGATAGCTTTGACAAAAACAAAAATTAAAGCGAACAAGTATATTAATTTTTTTTAATGTAATATTTGATAAATTCGAAATTATAGCAACGTCTTTTTTAAAAAAATTTCAAAGCAGAAAATTAAAATATCCCTACTGTATCATTGAAAAAAAAATCACAACGCTATGTTTTATGGAATTTTCCAGAATTTCATGTACCCGACAGAAAGAGAACGATGATTCTATTAAACTTTGGAGGGAGTCAAACGAAAATTATTATAAATTTCATATTTTCAAAATTCATAATTTATTCGTTGTTTTTAGTGTAACATGTCTAAATGTACTCCAACTTAACTACAGGGGTGACCGATTTTTTGTGGGAGAGCAAGGGGCGTTTACTACTATACTATCAAAAAAAAGAACGTTCGTACTACTACAGTACGTATTCCTTTTTATTTTTTTTTAATGATTTCATTTACGAAAATTTGGTTTAATAAAATTGATTTTTTTGAGCTCAATCCTTGCCAGAACAATGCTGCAAATTATACATGTAAAGCAGAAAAAAAAATTTCGGCCGTAAAATTTTTATTAAGGGAGGCAAATTTAATATCGTGTATAACATTATGACCTTTATGACGCCATTATGCTCACTGCAAGTATCACAAAAATGACTATTCACAATCGTGACTAATAAGGTATTTATGTGGTCATTTCAATAAATATGCAAATATGGAAATGAAATTCAGTACTGTACCTACGTATTAAGTAGATACACACGTGCTGATGTTGAGGTTAGAGTTCAAAACGGATGACGCTATTTTAATTACCATATTCAGTCAAAATTTTTGAATCTTGGTCGTTTAAATTATTATCGTACTGTGCAATAAATAATAAAATTTATTACAAATGCCTTAGTTATTCTATTATTTTTCAAGTTATCTGGACTATAAAAGTAAAGTTACCCGGATGGAACTTTTTTTATTTAAATTTATAATTTAGATAACTCAACAACCAATAATTCATCTAGAAATCTGTAAAAAAAAGAATTACTCTTCTATAAATTCACTAATAACTAACAGTTTTTCTAAAATTATTAATTAATGTAACAAAATAACGGGTCAAAAATTTGAAATCAAATTGGAATTTTTTTCTGCGTAGAATTGCTGGTCATTTTTAATAATGCTTATATCAAATGGTTATTTGTACTAATTAGTAAATTCGAAAATTTTTATGTAACAAATAAATTGAGCAAATTTGTGACATTTTAGTCTGTCAAATATGTTCAGTTTTCAATTCCCACGGAACTGGGTAAGGAAAGTATAACAATGTTTAACAATGTTAGAAAGTAAGGAAGGGTGACATAGCTAACGTTATTTGAGAAATTATTAGCATACAAAAAAAAATATGGGAATAAGGTTTTCTAGTCATTATGAAACTTACTTTATACTAATGTATACATTCGATGAGTTTAACTGTTGACCCCTAGGTGATGTGCATGTCTTTGCCTAAATAAGACCTATACATTTTTCATATTTTCTAGAGCTTTATTATGGCACGTTAAAGTTCAGTATTATAGGCAAATAAAAAACTGGTTCTCGGCTATAACTAACAATAAGGTGCTTGAGTCACGATGTCATTGACGCCACTGCAAGTGGCACGTTGTTACCTAACTCTTTTTTTTATGCTAAAATAGCCGAAACTTCACCTATTAACCTATCTAATAATAGGCTAGACTCTCACAACCATAACAAATATACGTCAATACGTCAATTGTTCTGTGTAGTACATACATACTTTAAAACTTTGCAACACAATCCACTTAAAGTTAAAAGAAGTAAACACAATAATTTCCGTTTCTAGAAAATAATATCAAAATTTTTACAATCTATAAATGGGTTTCGAAAAATTATTTAAAGAACTAAAAATTCCGCTTGTCCATTTTCAATTCAAAAAATATTAATTGATAAATTTGATAACTATAATTCTTTTGCTAACTTTAATAATATAAAATTTCTCAGTAAATCATTTTGATTTAATTTCTAAATATCGAACAATGAATAGCCTTATTTCGCCTCAATTATTTGTTTATCCTCTTACTGGCTCATATGTTGCTCCAGTCAAAAAGACATATATCCCTCCTGAAATAATTCGTATTATTCTTAGTTTATTAAGGGATGATAAGAAAACTCTTGCGGCTTGTGCTTTAGTTAATCACACTTTTAACCTTCATGCTACTCCAATCTTATATCATACTGTCTCATTTACTTTTCCTCATACGTTTACACTTTTTGCTAATGCCACAAGTGACATTAAAATGCGTTGTTCTCAAATGGTTTACCACTTGGATATCTCTAGTTTTTCAACCTGCGGTCTGCAAAAAAGTTCTTTTGAAACACAAAAGGTCGTCACTCCAGAACTCTTAATTCATATTTTAAGATCATTTCCAAAATTAGATGCTTTTTCCATATCCGAATCTTTGGAATCCGTCATTACCCTCGACGTTTTAAAAGTTTTATTTTTAGAATGTAAAAACATCATAACTGTCGATTTTTGTGGATGTGCTAGCAAACAATTTAGTAATACTTTAGAAGAATTCTCTCGCCTAATTGGTCGCATTAGAATAGAACAAATTTATAACGATGATGCTGAGACTACAATTGATTTTCATATGACTTATGAACCTTTATTATCTCATCTACAAAGACTTTCATTTCATGAATGTCCAACAATTTCTGAATATTCTGCTATTATACCTATTCTCGCTCATGCTCCAAACCTTACACATCTTGATTTGGGCGGTTGTTCTATAAGTGATTTAACTCTAAATTTCTTGGCCGTAACAAACGCTCCAATTAAGTTATCACATTTACTATTAGCTAAATGTAAAAATATTTCATCAGATGCTATTTCATCTTTTGTTTCTAAATGTTCTCAATTAGAAACTCTTAACCTCTACGGTGATAGAACTGCTATTAATGAGTATGATTTAATAACCATACTTCGTTCACCGAATGCAAAAAACTTTCAAATATTAGATATTGGATCTTCTTATATAACACCTTTGATTTTAACTACAATCAAAGAAAATTGTCCATCATTACAAAACCTTGGAATTTCAAAAGCACAAATTACCAACATAAATCTTATTAAAGATCTTATAACTGCTTTACCAAATCTACAATACATTGATCTCACTTCAATTCCATGTTTTAATATTTTAAACACGAATAATCTTTTTACTATCACAAAAAAAAGTAATCATCCTCTTCACACAATTGAGATGAGTGAGTCATTGCTTAAAAGGCTTAATACTGTTGATGGTTGGAAAATTGATGTAAATTATGGTAGAAGATGGTATTATTCTCGTCAAATTCAAGGAGGAGTAATTAGACCTGATAGAGTACATGGTAGAAAATTAGATTTAACTGGATATGGAACAGAATATATGAGCAAGATTTTTCAATATTATAGTTTTGACGCATGACAATAATTCTGTTATAGATAATGTAATATATAATTAATGTCTTGTAAGAGATCATATATATATAATTGCTTATAAGAACATTTTTTTTCAATCTATAATAGATAGAGCTATAAATAAATTTTGTAAATATATATTAATATAATTAAATTATAAATAAATTATTCAACTGATATAAGAAGTTTCGTTAAAATAACAGGATTAAAAGTTTATTTCGATAAAAATTTTTTGAATGAATATGTTTGCAATTTATAATAAATTTATTATTTAGAATTTTAATTATAATTAATTACAATTATATATGCTGTTACGAAGTATGTATGTGGCATTAAACTCTAAAATAGAGTTTGGAACCGGTTTATTTTTTATATGTTAAACCCGATTAAAATCGGTTCAAAACTCTAAGTGACTTATATTAATGTTATCTATTATACAATCAAAAGATCCCTAAATGCAATTCCTTAAATGCGACTCCCTAAGTAGTGATGCGAATGGCTCGGCTCGGCTCACGGCTAACGCTGATCAAGCCGAGCCGATCTTTCAGCTTATCAAGCAGAGCTGAGCCGTTTACAAGCTGATCAACCTCAAGCCGGGCCGAGCCATTACTCTAATATATAGTTTCCTTAACTATATACAATTGAATTTATGTGGTAACTTTTTTTTTTTTTACAAAATTTAATCATCATTTATAATACTGTACAATAGAAGGTTCTTCACAGACGAAGCTTCAAGTACTACTCTATGTAAGCATACTTCACTTAAAGACGGTTTTTTAAGTAGAAAATAGTAAAATATAAAAGTCAAAGTTCCAATTAATTTATAGAAATTTCGAAAGTTTTTATATACTTGAAACATTAGGTTTTTAAAGCATGGTTTATCCGAACAATTACTGTACAGTGCTTTTCAAATTACTGTGATCAGCCGTCGATCATCCATCACACGGAAATCTGTAAAATTCCCTTAAATTCT